GAACGCATGCGCATGACGATTTATGAAGGAGACACGCAGTGTGGGAGGTGAGGTAGGCGAAAATGGCAGAAGATTAATGGAAAAGAGAACATTTTTGGATTTGCTATCTCCGTTATTACACATTTGCGACGGTAATGTAATAAGATGAAAATTATCTTATAATTAGACGTCTTATTAGAATATGATAATAGATTAGTGGTAGGAATGTGGAATGTGAAAACGCAAAAATACCCGCAGATGAGTTATTTGTTTTACTGTTCATTTTCTAACTTTATTTTCATGAGTGAGTTCTGATATGATAATCATTTCTTGTGCAAATGCTTTGTTTGGTAGATAATTAGGCACCTAGGTGCGTACTACTTTGTCTTCTTGGCAGTAATGCGGCAGTGATGTGTCATCCCAGGATGTAAGCAGGCAATCATATTGAAGTACTTCAAAACACTCCGCCACCCGGGCTTAATCAACACTGATGCTCAGTGTATGCTTAAAAACAGTTTGGTATGGACGGCTGCTCTCTCGTCCTCAAAAAGTAAAATTACACCATATTATAGTAAGTTCTTTTTGTTTAATATACCGGGGGGGGGGTGAAGGCCCCCAACTAGGAAGTTAGGTTAGGTTAAGTAGGGTTGTTTGGTTAGGTTGGTGAGGTCTAACAATTTTTCTGCTGCTTGTTTTTCATATCAACTTAGGTTACGTTATGTTTAATTTAGAAATAAATACTTTTCAACACATTTGCACAAACTACAACAGTGTCCACTATAAAACAGTGGTGTACTGTGGTTGCACTGATGAGGCATGCAGAACACCCACATATATCAGTTATCAAATCAAATATCAAGTAGGATATGGCCTTTCTCTAAATAAGGGTCGTCAAGCCTTTATAAACACCTAATTTCTTCAATTATATCAGTGACATCTGACAAAGTATCTATTAGAAATAATGAAATAATGGGTGCAAAAATACTTACGGTAAAAGAACATTAAGCTTTCAGTGTGATCTACAGTAATTTAGAAATACCTACTTCATATTTCCCGCCTCTGCTGACAGCCCTGTAAATATTTCAATGTGGTTCTGATCTTTTAAAATATTAGTTTTTGCATAATGTATTACTGATACATAATTTGTCTAAGTATGCCTTATTGTGGGTAAAAATATAATGTAGTATTACTGATATGTAATTTGTCTTAGTATGTCTTATTGTGGGTAAAAATAAGTATATATTAAATGCATCCTCCGAAAGCGTGAATTTGCTACCAGAGTTTATGATAAATTTCCTACGTACTTATGATTGAAATAATGAACGTATGTATCTTTATATAATTTAGCCAACTATCTTTATCGTCAGAAACGGTCATCCCAACGATTGTGAATTAACTCTTTAGAAATACATTAATACTTCAGGACGAAATCGAACAGGTTTGAAACCGCCAATCAGCTGTAAGTCTTGAGAAGGGGGCGAGGCATCTTTTCTCAGCTGAGAGAAAACACACTGTAGGCATCATGCACAACGCTGGCCCTCTGTAAAGTTGTCAATGATCTTATTGCTGAACATTTAAATAAAAAGTAAATGTTTTTATTTATATGATCCGATTATTATTTCAAGTAAAACAGAAATCTGAATAACTTTCCCAAGTGAAAAACTATAACTGAAAGCAGACTATAGGGTTATTTAGAAATATTAAAAAAAAAATGTGGATCAGTTTTGTCCAGCTGACGGAGAGCCGCCACCGGTCTTCATAGCCTCTCGGCAAGTGAATGCAGTTTCCGAATTGCATGCATTTGTACCCATTACATTTATAGAAACCTTATTTCATAGCCACTCTTATGGAACAACAACTCTCAGGTAATATAATATCACTTAATGGAAAAAGTATTAAATTTGACTACAATGGCTCAAATTCCTTAAGCTCCAACACAATAAACTTCATTTTAGCATGTTATTGATAGGATGGTAACGTCTATATGTTCATTGAGGGCATGTGGCTTATCCTTCTGCGTGCATTGAGGGACGCTGAGTCTCTTCGACTTTTCTGAGTGAAAAAAAGTGAAGACTAAAATTAAATCTGTATTATTGAAGATACTATTTAAAAATATATTTTGCTTTCTAGTAGTGCCTTGCATTCATTAAGAATACGCCACTGCTATAAACTACAATGAAATTGCGACTTTTTTATAATCGTTATTTAAGAAAAATCGGCCGCAGGTCAGTCGTCAATATTTACCCTTTCTCTGAGTGAGAGTTGTGAACTCGCGGAACAACCTGCTAGAGAGTGTTTTTGTATGAGCACCGAGTGCGAGCTGATTCAAGACCAGCCTTGACCAGCACTGGAGAAGGTTCAGATACATTCAGGAGCCAGTGCATGCCCAGTACTTGCCAACAGTGTGTAACAGAGATGTGACCAATCACCCAAGCAGCTAACAAGCCAATCAGTGGTGAAGAAGATAAAAGTAAAAGGTAAAAGTATCAATAATGGGAACCCCCAGTGGGAACCAGGGCTTTTGGGTGGGGGAAGATCACAAAAAGTAGTAATCTGCGGTGATAATGAAGGTCAGAATCGTTCTAAACACATCAAAACCATCGGGAAAACAATTTCAACCTAACTGGAAAGTAATAAATTTCGGAAGAATATTATCGAAGAAACAAGCTTAAAATTATAAAATTCCCTAGCTAACCAAAATGATAATACTGTAATACCATTTAATATACCGACTGGTCTGCGGGGTGGAGCCCCATGGCTAAGAAGTTGGATAAGGTTAGGTAGGTTTGTTGGTTAGGTCTTCTAACAACGCTTCTGCCGTTTGTTTATCATATCAACTAAGGTTAGATTAGGTTTAATTTATAAACAACCACTTTTTAACACATTCAAATAAACTATGACTGTATCCACTATAAAACAGTGATATTGTGGTATTTTTATAATCGTTTTCTATGAAAAATAGACAGCGGATAAGTTGTCAATAATTACCTGAACACAAAAATGGGAGTGAAACTGCACAGAACTAATTAGAAGCTGACCTAACCTACCTAATCTTCCTAACCTGTGCATTGTCATTTCCATTTTCTTAGTTACTATCATTCAAACATATCTAGAAGTGAAATAATTCAATCCAATATAAATTGGGTAATGTATTAGAACACCACTACCACCAGAAAGAATGTTCAATTTTTTTTTTTTTTCCCACAGGTGTTTTTATTATTACTAGTAAATATTTTAAGATGCAACATTTACTAGAACCTAATAGGACCCGACCTAACCAACCAAAGAAACTTTTCTAACCTTACGTAACTCCCTAGCCGGGGGACTCCGCCCCCTAGACCCCCTGCCATATTGAAAGGAAAGTATTTATTTTGATATCTGTTACCAATGAAAGCAACTTTGGTGAAGTGTCATGGTATAATTTATGTTTTTTTGTGGATGTAAGAGTACGCTCAGACTGAGCGGGTCTGTTGTAAACAAACATACGACAAGCGGTAACTTGGCAGATTTTTCGGAGGAGTATTTACAGTAAATAGTTTCTTCGCTTACAAAACACATAGGAACATTATTTTAGTGTCGTATGATCAGTTTTTCACAGTATTTTACCTTGGAAATTCCCTCGCCCTTCATTCCCTGCCCACTACAGGTGAAAAATACTTATAATTAAATTAAAGTTGTTGGCTCTTTAAAATACTTACTATAATTATAAGAACGTCTGTGGAAAAAAATGAACAAATCGAACAACTCCTTCTGGTGTAGCAGTTTCCTCATAAATTACCTTAAATTTTAATAAACACGCCCGATGAGATTTTTTTTTTCTTAAAATGAAAACAAAGACTGCGGACGCACTTGTATAGCAGACAATGTGAACCAAAAAATGGTTGCCATAATCATGGTAAATGTTTTATTTCTTTCCGTACAAAAGATGTAGAGACATGAAATTACTGTCATATGATCAGTGTTCATTGTGTTTTTGCTCCATTATTTCCTCCTCCTCCTTTCATGCCCTGCCAATTACAAGTAATATATGATCAAAGGAGAGGCAGCTAAAAAGAAAAACTACTACAATTTTGTTGCTTTGACATTATTACTCGGTATCATCCAAACAACATCTGAAAAATTGGTGCAATTCCGTAAGTCCTTCTGGTGCTAACCATCTCCTCCACTTACCAGCAATTCTAAGACATTTTCTTCAATGACATTTTCCTCGCAAATGACTCTACCTATCCTCCTACCCAGGGGGCTCCATCCCCTTGGACCCCCAAGCATATGTAAGTTGTTTGCAAGGGAAATGTGTCTTAAGAGTTGTCACTACTGATTGCAAAGATAAAATTCCAGAGATTCTAATTACAAGTATAGAGTATCTCATCTACTGTAACTTTACTTCACTAAAACTTACCTTAAATACCAGATGGTGGAGGATCTTGATGATACAGACAGTCTGAATTACACCTTGGACACTTAACTGAACCAAGGAGAACACCATGAGACCTAAAGATGTCAACAGCTGCGGCTTCTTTCTCAAATACTCGTTGAATTACACGCTAGTCTTCCAATGAACAACCTTCACAGACAGAAGCCATCTTCCCACTAATTCAAAATCACGTGAGATTGAGACTTCCGCTGATTGACTGAGTTAGAATTAAACAAAAAAATATGCCTGTGATCTTGTATTTTCTAAAGCGAAATAAAAAAAGTGAAAATAAAACAGACTATAAATTTACATCGGAAATGCTCGAGAAGAAAGTACAATACAGTCGACCCTCGTTAAAACGGACTAATAGGGGGGAAGGGTGTCTGTTTTAGCCGATTGTCCGAATTAACCGATTTAGGGGTTAATATTGTATAGGCCTACGTATATGATATTGGAAATACAGTACCGTATATACACTGTACGCTGAACATGTTACACAGTAACAAAAATACAGGAAATACTGTAAACATCATATAACTAGCTATATAAAACATTACAGTATGTAAAAATAAAAAAGTTAATACCGTAAATTGTTAATTTCATTTACCTTTGGTAGATGACAGATGAGCTTGCTGTGGTGGAGGTGGGGGGTAGAGGTGATAACTTGTCATTCGGAGTCAGTAGAGCTATGATGCTCCACTGGTCCTTGTCCCCCACTCATAGAAGGCTGAGGTGACTGAGGATGGCCTGAGTCAGCAGCAGGAGGGTCATCAATATCGTCAGCAGGCTCAACAGCTGCAGCAGGGTTAGGACGAACTGGCTTGAAGAATGAGTCGAGTTTCAGTTGTTTACCTTGCTGATGCTGCCTCTGGATAATGAGTTCCCTAAAGGCTCTAATATGTTGATAGTAATGCTGAACATCAGTTTCTGCTGACAATTCAATGTAAGAAATGATAATATCAATGGATTCTCATATAACAGAGAGTTTGGGTTTCTTGGGCAATGGTTCGTCGTCGTCCTCATCTTCACTATCTCTGCTGTCACCAACGAGAACTTCATCCGCTATTTCTTCTTCTGTTAAGACTTGGTATCCAGGGTCACCCTCTGTGTCTTCTAGCCAGTTTCTCATGTCGTCTTCTGTGACGTCATTTTCGCCCGCCCTCTGAGTGAGTTTGTCCTTAGCCTTGCGTATGTCCGAAACTGTTTACTTTTTAACACCATACTCGCCACAAACTCTAGCCACCGAAGCACCAGCCTCTAACTTCCTCATACGTTCCAGTTTCTGGTTCACAGAAAGGGTCACATGCTTCCCCTTCGGCGTATTACTCCCCCTTGAAGGCATGATGTAAAATACAAGGCTGAAAGATGCCTAATCACTGAAATATCAACGAAAATTGCAGGGCAACACAACACCGATACTCGAATATGGCGCTAAAAGTCAACAATGACTGGCAGTTTGGTGCGCGCTAGCCATCTATCGGACAATCCCAGAACCAGAAATTTGACACGGACAGTCCCTCGCTTAACTCAGATTTCGTCCTGTTTATCCGTTATCCGGATTAAAGGGGTCCGTTTTAACGAGGGTCGACTGTAGTACTGTATTTTGGGGAGCTTTATCTCCCTATATAGGAATCAGTATAAAGTTCCATGAATAGTTACTATGGAATATTAACCATTACTCTTTCTATTAATAATATGCCGGTTCTGTATGCCTATTTACCATGGCCATCTGAGGCCTTTCTTGTGGTTTACTTTACTTATTGATGTCATACAAACAATTAAAGCAACCTTCTATACAAACGCTTGTGGTGTCAATTAAATGCTTTTGTATAAGTGATCGGTTTTCAGCCTTTGGCCTTCCTCCTGTGATTATTAAACTGAGTCTTTTCTCTGTTGTTAATTTCTCTGCCATCTGTTGATTTATTATTTCCTCACCTGAAAACAAAATATGAGAGAACATTAATTTTCCAATGGGACACCCTGTACATTATAGAGTAAGTGTAGGAGGTATACAACATATCATATTGTGTAGATCGTGCAAGTATATTATATACAAAATATTTATAGATTGTGCATTGGCCATGTTCAGTCACCCACAAAAGTCTGTTTCCTCTCCTCCCAAACCATTAGTTTCAGCTGCTTTGGGCTCATGAATCTTAATCTTGGGGTTCATGGAAGAACATGAGAGGCAACAGGACTTTTGTGGGGTGATTGCACATTTATATACCCTGTACTTACGCTGTCTATAATCCAGTACTTGCTGAATCAATGTGACCATATAGGACTATTTTACTGAATGAATATCTGTACATTATCTGTCTATCTACTTAGGAAAGTAAATTACATGAATCAACCAAAGCTACCATAATGAACACTTCATGAGGATTACTGTCCCCTGTATTAGGTTTGTTATGTTAAGATTGTTTTCTGAACTTTAAAAGAGTTTTGAAATTGGAAAGATTAAAAGAATGGTAGAACAGTACTAAACTAAAGATTTACCCTTTTGTTAGGTTAAGAACTTAGGATAGTACAGAATACTGCATGTGTTCTTAGAATTTATTGTTTTTCAGATTTTATTTATTTTTGCAAATGGGAGGCTCGCCAAGTTGTCAGATACCAGCAGTAAACATGAAGGGTCCTGTTGCAGAAATGGTGAATGAGAAAGTGAAGAATAATTGTGTTGTAATTTTCTCTAAGACTTACTGCCCTTATTGCAAGATGGCTAAGAAGGTAAGTGGGATGACTTGAAGAATCTCCACCACAGCTTATTTCACCTAAAAATTTTTGACCGTAATGTTAACCTAGCCTAACCCCAAATAGTGTTAGGGTGGGTAATCCTACTACTTTGCGGTCACTCAGAATCGAGTATGACGATCATCCAGCTATGAGACAATGATATGAGTTATTAGGCATGTCACCTTCGTTGGCGAGTTTTAAATTGACTAATGAGGCCAATATGGGACCGGCAGAGTCATTCACAGATGTTGCACATGTGGATGGCGACATCTAGTGCGAGAGGGGCAGCAGCAGCATCTTTCCAGCGTTGACGCTTGTCTGTCTCGGTTTGTAATCGGGCTAATTCGAAAGCATTGACACCTTCTCATGCGGTGCTCCTCCAAGCATGACGATGTGGAGTAATCATCTCCCAGGTGAGGGGGTCGATTTGACACTTTTTCAAGTTTTTCTTAAGACTATCCTTATACCTTTTCAGTTGCCCACCATCATTACGTTTACTATTCATTAGGTGACTGTAAAGTAGCTGCTTTGGCAGTCTACTGACATCCATGCGGTAACATGGCTAGTCCAATGTAGTTGTTCATAGATAGTGGTAGCCTTGGTGCTCCTACAGTTGATGTCAGTGAGAATACTGGCATTTGTTCTTTTGTCTTCCCAGCGAACTCGGAGGATGGAACGTAGACTACGTTGATGAAAGATTTCAAGTGCCTTGAGATGCCTCCTGTATGTGACCCATGTCTCACTGCCATATAACAGGGTGGGAAGGACCACTGCTCATTATACATGCAGCTTTGTAGATAATTTCAGCTCCTTACAGCTGAAGACACGGGTGCGGAGTCTGCCAAAGGCTTGAGATGCACATCTGATCCGATGTTGAATCTCTTCATTAATGTCTGTGGTGGTGGACAGATGGGAGCCCAGATACTGGAAGTGGGCAACATTAGAGAGGGTAGTACCATTGAACTGGATGGATGGTGGAGGTGTGGCTGAACCAGGGGCAGGCTGAAAGAGAATCTGAGTCTTACGTACATTCACCTCAAGGCCGAAGAGTGCATACCGTACGCATCTGTGTAGGTGTTCAGGATCTCCTGTAAGTTGCATTCAGTGTGAGCAACAAAGGTGAGGTCGTCTGCATACTAAAGCTCAATAATGGAAGCTGCCGGCACCTTTGTTCCTGAATGGAGTCGTCTTATGTTGAAAAGATCCTTCTTTCTTCCGGTACTCGATGTCCACCCCGCCGGTTAAATTGTCACTGGGACGAGTAAGGAAGGCAGCCAAGAAAATGGAAAAGAGAGTTAGTGCCAGTATACACCCTTGTTTTACCCCTGTTTGGATGGGGAAGAACTCAGACTGGGGGGTCATTGTGCAGTACACTGCTGTTCATGCCATCGTGGAGTTGCCTCACGATGGCGATGAATTTTGGTGGGCAGCCAAAATGGCTGAGGGTCCGCCAGAGGGCTTCCCTGTTGACAAAGTTGAAGGCCTTGGTTAGGTCGATAAAGGCCATGTACAGGTCATGTCGCTGTTCTCTGCACTTTTCCTGTATCTGGCGGGTAACCCTGTATGTCGAACTGAAAGTCTTGCAGTGGTTTGATGTAGCAGATGACCTTACCGCTGTTGTTCCCCCTTCCAAGTTAACTTTTTTTCCACCACCTGATACAGTTCATATAAACTACCATTTTACACACCAATTAATATAATTTTGTTAAGTTGCAAGGTTATAAAGGACATTTAGTGTATATTCACTACTTCAGGTGATATTTCCTTTATTAAAATTCCCATTACAGTATGAGTAAGTCATGATACTGTAGTTTAGTATTGTTATATATTTAGGATCTCGTATTCCCATGAATTAGTACACTACAAGTCACTGATCTGTAAGTGTGTTCACGAGTGAATGTGCCTCTTACTATCAGTATGATTATACTTAACTCTTCAGAAACATTTCCCCCTGTAACCTTATCTGACTGGCTCTAAGATCCTTTCTAGAATTAACAACCAAACCTTTTTCACGTGTAGCCTTTTTCTCCTCAAAGTGAAGTTTGTCTCTTTTACTAGTTTATATCAATAATGTATTAAACAACACTTAGGATAATCACAGTTTCAAGGAAAATTCTCAATAGAGTGCAGTACAGTATATATCTATTTGACTAAATAATGATTCCTTGTGTCTATAAATTTTGTAAGATGGATTATCTTGTGTACATTTGGCCAAAGGAGATGTTGTTTATGAAGAATTGTTTTATTTTTACATATCCATATAGGCATTCAATGACCTTGGCATACCATACGAAGTCTATGAGCTAGACAAACAGTCAGAAGGGTCTGCAGTTCAAGATGTCTTGGATCACATGACAGGACAGAGAACTGTAAGTACTGTATAATATATCTGTTTTATTTTTATATATCTCTGTTTTGATGTGAATGTACACCAGACACTTACACTCACATACAAACATTACAGATTTAAACACACACAACCTGACAACACATCCTAACACACTCACATCCAGCTACCTTCCACACACACACACATACTTCTGTAACTATTGATAGGTTGATGTAGAGGGGTGTTTGTAAAGGATTGGGTGTAGGAGGTATCACATATTCCTAGCATTTTTAGATTGTTAATTTAGCATGTTAGTTCAGAAGATTTCCCCTAGTCTGAATTAGTAACTGTAGACAGAAGGGCTATGAATACAGTACAAAGGTGAAAGGAAAGTTATAGCTACCACAGTTAGTCATTGGTAAAGATCAACACTGAAGATCTCAAAGAAATCTCATAAATGGCAGGAAAGAAGGAAATTTTATGTAGAAACATAACTTAAATGTCTTTTTTTTTCTGTATTATTTTTGCCGCTTACAAGCTGTTTGGGCGCTCTATCCAGTGTTAGTACAGGAGGAAACCGGGGACCGGGAAACCTGTGATGTTTGGTAGGGTCGCACTTGATAACACCCTTCTCATGTGTGTACGGCCAAGGCTCAAACCCTTGACATGTTGGCGAGAGATATGTGTGCTACCGCTGTACCACCAAAGCAATATTAGGAAAATCAACAGAGCAACTCTTTGTAAGTAACACCTTGAATTAACACGAGCCACTTGATTGAGAAATAAGACAAGAAACCATTGTTGACCTTAGATTGGTAGTGTACCTAGATAATGAGACAAATCATCCAGACATTTTGTTAGACACGAGTACTGTATTGATAAGCCATATTCTTTAAATAAATGTTGCTTTACTCACCATAAACTGGCTGCATCTTGCTGTACAGTGGGCCACATTAAATAGAACTTCTCAGTCACTCCACGGGCTGCACAAACACATGGTCCAGGCCGCGGGTTGCCTGTGCCTATGATACAGGATACCGCTTGTATGTGGTTTCTCCGGTTAAGTTTCTCATCAACAACAACCCAAGTAATTTAGTATTTTGTTCACATTTGAAGACAGTATTTCCAAGGTACAGGTGGTCCAAATCTGGGGGTAGATTTTTCCTTCTGTGAAAGATTGTGTAGTGGGTTTTTCGAGGTTTAAGTACAGATTATTACGTTTTATCCAGGTCCTGACTTTGGTCAATTCAGTGTTCATAGTTTCTCATCAAGGAATGGAGATCTGAGTTGCTGGCATAGAGGTTACAATCTTCTGCAAATAAGTTGAATCTGACGAGTGTGCTGGAGTGGATTACCTGTATATCGTTTTTGTACAACAAGAACAGAGCAGGACCAAGAATGGAACTGACTGTCATCAAAGGAGTTTAAGATGTCATTAGTAAAGGATAGCAGAGCACTCTCAGTTGACCTTCCAGCTCTAAATCCAAACTGAGAGTCTGTAAGGATGTTATTGACACTGCAGAAGGAATTTAGTCTGTTACATGCTTGCTTCTCCAGTATCTTACTTAAGGCTGGTAGGACTGATATGGGACAGTAATTCTTGAAAAGACCTTTATCCCCAGATTTTTTATATGCTGGGTGAACTTTGGCTTCATCTTTGGAAATTTTTTTGATGGTCAGCAATTCATCTGTTGTGACGGGGGATAAGAACAGCTAATTTTGCTGTCTGTTTTGTAGGTAGGCTCTAAATTTCTCATGGTAATTAGGAATGCTCTCTGCAAGATTTTTGCCAACATTGATAAAATAATCATTGAAGTGATTGGTAATCAGGAAGGGTTGCATTACAACTATCATTTATCATAAAAGCTGAGTGGGAGGCTGTGGGTTGAGTGTTCCTGTTCTGAACAGAATTGATGATAGTCCAGGATTTCTTACTGTTGCCTGATGTTGACTGGAGCTTATTTGTATAATAGCTATGCCTGGCATTTCTAACTGCTTGAGTTACTCAATTTTTTATTCCCGTACTTTGGTAGGCATCACCGAAAGTTATGTTTTTTCTTTGCAAATTTTCTTTGGAGTTTGTTTTTCTTTTATCATTGCATTGATTTCACTTGTAATATAGGGTTTGGAGATAGATACAGTTTTTACTAACTTAGTCTTGAGGCAGAAGCATTTATTAAAGCAAGCATTGAAGATGCAAGAGAAGTTGCAACAACTTACATTAGGGTTGTTGGAGGCATAGACAAGATCCCACTTAGCGTTCATTAAGTTGTTTTAAAAAAGGAGCCTGTTGTCAGCTCAGTAGTCTCTATATTTTATTGTGACTTTATGAGACCTTTCAGATCTTGAGGCTGTTTTATACATGGCAAAAACTGGGAAGTGATCTGAGATAGTGTTATAAATAATTCCACTTGCAAGATTGTTAGGAGTGTTGTTAGTCCAGATATGATCTATCATAGTGGCAGAGGTGGCAGTTACTCTGGTGGATTTGGTTATTGTGTTGAAGAAGAGCTTAGAATGACAGGAAGCAAGAAGGTCACTAGCTGAGGTGTCCGCCTCAGATTTTAGTAGATCAAGTTTGAAATCTCCTATAATGTAGCAAAGTTTCCTCTCTGAGCTTATAATAGAGATAAGCTCTGATAATTTTTCAAGAAAGTTCTTTACATTAGTGTGGGATATTCTGTAGATTATTCCTACTGGGATATTTTGTGTGCCGTTACATAATTCAGTGAAAACACTCGCCATAAACTCCTCTTGGACCTTTAAATCATCTTTTACAGAAGTGTTATACTTAGTATCAACATATAGTGTGACACCACCACTGTGTTGTGACATATTGACGCAGTGACTAGTATAATTAGGGATGTCATACAAATGGTCAATATCGTTGGTGAGTTTGGTCTAACAGAACCCAAGTACATACATCAAATTTGTGGGCAATAGAAGATATACGCTGATCTAAAATGGTCTCTAAGTGAAGGGGAATACTGTTGATATTATGGCTAATTTAGGTGAAGGAATGAGGTAGTATGAGGCTGCAGCTAAACTCAGGCGAGTCAGGAAAATAATAGTTACAACTGGGGTTGGTGTAACCCAGTGAGTTTTGTAGAAAGGCATCAGGGTCAATGTGAGGGAGAACTGTGTCGACACCATGGTTGAAGGGGGTGAAAAACATACAGTCCATTACATCTAAGGGAACCACACTAGCAACATCAGTATGGGGATATTGGTACTGATTAAGGAACAGCCAAAACTCAGGGTCACTGAGGTGTAAAAATGGAAGGTCAAAGAAAGTTATAATGATGTGCTTCAAAATGGCCATGATATTGGTTAGATTTCAAAATAAATTCTGGGTGCTTACACCACCTCCCCCAAAGTTGGGTTGTTTTAAGTAATGTTATTTAATGTTAATAAATGGAACAGTAAAAGTAGCAAACCATTAATGTTAAAGAAAAAAGTGAGACCGCATATGTAAGTGCACACATGTGAAAAACATATCGCCATTACCGGTACTCTACATAACAATATGAAAGCAACACTTATTTACAGTTCATATATGTTTTAAATAATGTTACTGAATTTTTTTTATTGAATTAATGTTTGTGTGCAAAATGAACAATACAATTCATTAATAATAGGTGGAATATTAAAACACACGAGGAGACGAGATAGCTGCCGGCATTGTTTTCGTTAATGTTTACAAAACCAGTGACTGATTGGTTCTACATATAAAACTGAAGAAAATAAGACCCTGGTTGTAGCTGTAGTAAAATTAATGTAAAAAAATTAATATGGTTGTTTAAAGTAATGTTATTTAATGTTAATAAATGGAACAATATACTAAGTAGCTTACCATTAATGGTAAAGAAAAAAAGTGAGACTGCGCATATGTAAGTGCGCACATGTGAAAACATATCGTCATTACTGTACATACGAATATGAAAGCAACACTTATTTACTGCTCATATATATTGAAGGGTTAAATGTTGTACTCTGTATAGACAAACAGAGAGAGAGAACCGAACTGCCGGATGTAAACAAACCTTAATTTCCCGCAGCTTTGTTGTTGTTTTTTTTTACAGGGATTAGCCCACCCGGACACAGGTCACTGACCCACATTGGGGCCTGAGGGGCGAAAATGTAATACTCCTGTAATAATAATAATAATTCAGATAAGTAAAAAAAAAAAATTGCCTATCTACCTATTGGGCAAACTAAAATCGTTCCGGACCACAGAATGCCGGACTAGAGAGGTACCACCTGTAATGTGAAAAGCCATCAGTTGGTTTGTGCGCATTAAAAGTGAGTGTGAAATGTTTGTGGTGACATGATTGAAATTATCAAACCCTTCCTTACTTAGCATAACTAAAAAAATATATATATAAGTTCTTTAGGAGAGGTTTAGTTTTGTTTTGTTTTTATTTGGTTTATGCCTGCAACATTTGGTTCTGTATTTGTATTTCACTTAAAAAAATCTGCTAATACTGTAACTAAGCATCACAAACTTGAACTGTAGCTTACTTCAGAAAATTTCAAGGTGGTTATAGGCATAGTAAGTGACCTTGTGTGGGAAATTGGAAGGCTCGTAAATCTAGCGTGTTGTCATCCTCAGTGTTTCTAAATTGACAAGATTATGTTGAAAAATAAAGTTGGTTTGAGGAGTATGGCCAAGGAATGTTTCTTTATGACAAATATGGTGTTTTGGGGAGGAATTAATAGAAATATGCAGAAGTAGTTGTATGTGGAGGTTTCCCTAATAATTGGTGTTGTGAGTCATGTATGATGTTACAAAAGATGGTAAGCAACTTTAACATATCTTTCAGGTTCCTCGAGTATTTGTTGGTGGTGTGTGTATAGGCGGAGGAACAGAAGCAAAACAACTGCACAAGGACGGAAAGTTGTTAGATATGGTAAAACAGTGTCAGTCAGCATCATAATATTAAACCATCATAACAGTTTGACATATTTGGGGAAACAACAATTAAAAGAAGTAGATTTTTCCCATCTAATATAATCTTCAGTACTGTAAACTGTTCTTTTGTTGTTTTCTATGATATCTTAGTCTTATTCATACAAAAAGTAGGCATATATTATGCAGTGTACATGTACTGTATATATATTTCTGTGGTGTTCTAATTGGATTTTCAATGAATAGTTTTCTTTTGAGATTTACAAATACTTTGAACTCATTATTATCATGTATTGGAAGCTAAATATCATGTATCCAGGGATGCGAATTCACCATTCATCAGGGCTAGGGAATTTAAAGTTTACTCTTCCATATAATTTTATACTAGCCCATAAACAGGTAAAAAAAAAAAAAAATAACACGCTTTGGCACTTCTTATGTACTGTATACCCATATAGACAGACTTTCTATTTACTTGATACAGGTATTCCTTGTTAATGTCATATAATATTTAGTACCAGAAACAATGTAAAACAATTAGCAAATTATAATACAGTAAGTCCTCGCTTAACTCTGCCCCCGACAGCGTTGTTTCGTTATAACATCACTACTCTTTAGATACCCATGATTCGGACAATGTCCCGCCAATTCAGTATAAAGTCGTCATGGACTACTTTGTACGGCGCATCACCCTCTCTCACCCAGTCAGAGCGGGAGGAGGAGCCACCCTCCAGGTCTCAATGACTCGCCGCCACCCTCCTCTCCCACCTCCTCTCCTGCCCTCCTCCTCTCCTGCCCCCCTCCTCGCCACTAACCACCACACTCTTGCTTCACCTCTTCCCATCAGTGAGTACAATACAAAATGATTTAGTTTATTTGGATGTATAATATATACTATTTTCTTTAAAAATTCCATTGAATTTATGTATATGTAATGTATTTTATGGGGCAAAGGGAGGCTGGGGAATGTAACTCCCATATTTTGTCTATTTCTTATTGGGAAAATTTATTCCGTTAACGTCGCAGTTTTCAGGAATGAAACCAAGATGTTAAGCGAGGACTTACTGTACTAGAATAGGTGCATATCTAAATAAAACTTAATTATTACTAGCAACTCTTATTTTATGTAATCATGATAAATCACAAGCAAATGCTTTAGCATCTATTACAATGCCATATAGCAGCTATTCAAACTCAGCATATCACGAGGACTGAAGTAACTTTTCTTTGTTTATACTGACAATGATGTTCTAAAGTTTCCTCATAAAATTTCTTTTTGTTGATTGGTGGAGGTTGGGCATTCTTCCACATATCCAACAACCATGGTTCATAAATAATAAGTACAGAATATTTAAAACAGTGCTATGTTTGGAATAAATTATAAATCTATTATATATTAGAAAGTCCCAAATTATTTGGGTCTGTATAAATCAATATTACACAGGTGTTTGTACGGGTGCATGTTTACAGTTACCAACACTTTATACTATACCCATCTTCACAGTACAGTACTATTTAATTGTAACTGCATATTTTTCTTGTCTATCACAAACAGAATAATGCTAGTATGGTATGTACTGTACACTGATGCCATAAACCTTGATACCTATCTTGGATACTGAACAGTGAGCAATAAAGTGTGTTCACTGATTAAGATGCTTATGTACTGTACAGTAATATAGGTTATTCAATTGATATATTGTATAAGTTTTATTTCTTTGTAATTTTGTTTCTCATTTGCTGTACATTGTGTTTTCTTGTCTTCCTGTCCAGCTTATGTTTTACAAAACTTATCTATTTATTCTTGATGGGTCACAGTTGTAGTATGGATGCCTGTCCCAGGAAAATAATTGTTGTCCAATTAAAAGTGATATCGTGTAAATTATTTATGCAGTTTCATTGACCTCATCTGATTTAATTACTTTAAGATGTACAGTCCCCCCAAAAGTATCGTTAGCCATGGGGCTTGACGCCATGAAACAACTGGTGCCACACAGAAACTTACAACTACAAATGTTGTACTATACGTAGATGGGGGGTTTTGTTGCCTGCGAGTCCCATGATTTGAAACCTTGTTTCGGTGTTAAACCAATGCAATTTACATATCAGTAACGTGACAGATCCCATGTAGACCGATATATTGTATACTGCTGGAGTTGGCATATTGTGTAACTTGGTGTGAATGAAACTCCATTAGTACAACGATGTAATGGTAAAATGTCCATTTCCATTTAATGTATATTTTAGTACCCTTGTAATCATCAATCAGTGACTTGTTTACATATGCCTTGCTTCTACCCAGCACAATTCATACATTAATATAGCATACTGTGGCATACTATTTCGTATGCCATTCAAGGACGACCATCTCCCTCAATCCAACCCTCATCTCTAGTTGTTGCTGTCATATATGTAACAACCTTCCTGGGTTGTCTCCACTTGTAACAATCACTAGTGAAACATGTTACCTTATATTCTAGATGTACTAAAATATAGATAAAAGTTTATTGGGTCTTCAGTAACTTAATCCAATAGGTTCCTCTTGTGTATTTATTATAAAAGGTTTCTTTGTACACTTTCAAAAAGGATTATCACCCTAACTTAATCACTGTAGCTATGAGTGTTAAATGAGGACGGAGGCTATCTTAAAGTAGCTCTTCTAAAATACGTCCGATTGATGTGAGAGTGGAAGTGATCTTGAATAGGGACCCTCGAGGGAGAACGGAAATGTATCCGATGTCCTCCCTCGAGGAAAGACGGAAGCACATCAACGATGGTTCTATATAATGTCTTCCTCTCGTCAGGGTTATCAAACTACTACCCGCAAAAGGTGGCCAGGGAACCGGATACTTATCCCTTAGCTCAGCACTAAGTGACGTGACTTCCCGTGGACACACCTTATCATGTGCTCCGAACAAGAACCTCATAGCTAGTGCAAAGTTACAGGGGGTGATAGTTATACAAGTCTAATGTAATTAACCCACACTTATATAAATACTTCTGCCTATAAGACAGGGGCTAATACAAGGGTTGATCTGTGCAATGTTTTATGTTAAAAGTCTTCAATCTCATATTTGCTAGTTAGGAAATTATAGAGTATTTTTTAATGCAAATAAGGCTTTTTCTAAGATGTACCGGTATATGTTATTTAGATTATAAATTGTTCATTGCATCTTTGCATATGTATACTGTACAGTATATGTAAATACATAGTTAAACAAAATATATTCTGTATATAAATTATTGATCTTTATGTTCGGATGTAATACACCCTTTCTCACTACAGTCAACCCTCGCTTTAAGCGGTCCCACTTTACGCGTTTCCACGTTTACGCGGTATCCTGCCGAAACCGGAATGCTCACTTTCCGCAGTGTGTGTACCCTTTCACGCGGAGAGCGGCGCGAGCAGGGTGCGCACAAGGTCGCCCAGTCATCAAAACAATACCGAGTTCTTCACCCGCCACCCACCACAGCCGGCCCAAGTCAGTGATAATGATAGTGAGGATATGGACTTTTATGGACTTTGAGGGGTTTGACAAAGAGGCCCTGCAAGCCTCTGTGGTGGATAGTGATACAATTGATACAAGTGATACAGGTGAGGGCCAACAATCTGCCCTCTGCCTCGGAACCAACCCCCCATCCCAGTGTGCCCAGCCATCTTTTCTACTAATGTAAGTGTTAAAAAACCTAATATTATTGATATTTCTCTTAATTATTAATTGTGTGTGCATACCATCATAAAATTAAGAAGTTATTTTTACAACAACGTAGGTATTGTGTCTGAAAAAGTGGAGTTTGGGGATCGGCCCGGTCTCTATTTCAATTAATCCCATATGTTATGTTGCTCACTTTACGCGGGCCGCCGTGGGTTGAATTACCGCGTAAAGTGAGGGTTCACTGTATTATATACTTTATTTTTTAATGGTATGGAGCCTCTAAATCTTGACATAGCTTAGGGCTTCAGCATGTCTTAATACAGCCCTCTGTCTAGTACTGATTATAGTGATTATATAGTTACTACAGTACAGTACAATACAGGGAAGCCTCGGATAACAACGGTTCGACCAACAACTTTTCGTATTTGAAACCCTAGATAATTTAGGACCCAATTCAGTTTACATCTTTATTTCATTCGTATTTGAAACCCTAGCTAATTTAGGACCCAATTCAGTTTACATCCTTATTTCATTCGTATTTACGACCAAAGTATAATAAAAATAAAATAAAATTACATTTTCATATAAATAATAACTAAATCCCGATATGATTATAAAAAAAAAATTACTGTAAAAAAATGAAGAGCGCCTTGCACAAAGAAGCTGCCTTGCTAATGAGTGGAAAACAACAGTCGGAGCTGGGTGGGCCTTTTGTTTTCACGCATCTGGAACAGGAACTGGAGAAAAACTTTCACAGGTTTCTTACAGCATTTTTGCATCCCTATTCAACATGAGCAAGAGAACAAGTGACGGTAGTGTTGTTTCAAAAGCTAATAGAAAGTGTATAAGCTTAGCCGAGAAATTAGATGTGTTAAAACGATATGAAAAAGGTGAGAGGTCTGTGGATATTAGATGGAGCAAGCAATGAACATATTTTCTGAAGTGGATCCATTAACAAAACAAAGCATTAAAATTTAAATAAATGCAAATGACCTATACATAAAGATGTGTACTGTAATGAGAAAAGAAAGCAGCTGTGCAAGGTTCTTTCGAGAGCTTTATTATTCAAAGGCCTAAACCATCAATTTCAGTTACACCATCAAATTCAGCATCATAAGCAGCTTTAACATCAACTTCAGGTTCAGTAACAGTTTCAGCAACAGCTTTATGGAAAGCTACAGCTTCAGCCAGAGTTGAACCTGATGACTTCGTCATCTGAGTGAAAACTCGCACAATATTCATGGCTGTCCTTATGTTTTAGACTTTACCGCCATTGGTGAATAGAATTTTAGTTTTACATTCGTAAATATTATTTAAAACATATATGAACAGTAAATAAGTGTTGCTTTCATATTCATATGTTGAAAAATGACGATATGTTTTCACATGTACGTACTTACTGTTCATACGTTGGCGTTCCCAATCGTCTCGCCTTATTTCTTTACCATTAGTGGTTAGCTACTCCTAGTGTTCCATTTATTAACATTAAGTAGCATTACTTAAAACATACATACCGGTATTCATTTTTTTTAAATTAAGTTCATTACAGCTACAACCAGGGTCTTATTTTCTTCAGTTTCTTATGTAGAACTATTGTCACTCACGAAAACAATGCCGTCTTTTCTCCTCGTGTGTGTTTTAATATTCTAAGTATTATTAATGAATTGCATTGTTCATTTCACATATATAAACATTAATTCAATCGAATACACATTCAGTAATAAACAATAATGAATCTTTTGTACATATTCTTAAGATAAATGACTAAGTTTCCTTGAGTGCGCACATAAACATTGGGTGTTAACACTGACAACAATGTTGTCTTTTATCCTCTTGTGTGTTTTAATATTCTACGTATTATTAATGACTTGCATTGTTCATTTCACATATATAAACATTAATTCAATCAAATACATATTCAGTAATAAACAATAATGAATCATTTGTACATATTCTTAAGATAAATGACGCGGTATCTTAAATGCGCACGTATATGTTGGCGTTATCAATCCATCCCTTTTTATCTTTGCCATAAGTGGTTAGCTACTTCGATTGTTCCATTTATTAATATTAAATAAGGTTACTTAAAACATATACAGTATATTAATTTTTTCACATTAAATTTACTACAGCTACAACCAGGGTCTTATTTTCTTCATTTTCTCGTGTAGAACTATCGTCCCGGACTCCCGGCTGTAAACACAAACGAAAACAATGGCGTCCCATCTCCTCTTGTGTGACCATACAGTGTTATTATTCATTTATATTGTAAAAGGTGCATTCAGAAACATTATTTAAAGAATATAGTTTGCACTTTTTATTAATTGTATTGTTTTGGGGGGGAAAGGAGGGTAAAAAGCCACACAAAAGATATGAAAAGGTCACACTTGAGATCGCATCTCATTATTATTGCATTATTTCAATGGTAATTAATGATCCGCAATAAGACGATTCACCTTACACTGCAATATTGGAGGACACATTAACGTCGTTATTCGAGGCTTTACTGTACAGTAAATTTAAGTTTAGTGTAATTAAGTTTGGTGTAATACTGTACAGTACTATACATATTTCTACTTTAATGTTTAGCATGTCAGACAAGCCAAAGTGCAGTGCCTCTCTCCACCCACCAAGGCTCCAGCAATCATATAGGAAAGTAAGTGTCCTGGAGTGTTTAGTTGTTATTATGCTTTTAAAGGGTAATATCAAATGAAGAATTTTTTTTCAAAGGTACTGGATACAGGGAAGTGTACAGATGAGGTGTGTGTGTGTGTGTGTGTAACATAGGTGTAAATATGGAGGAAAAAGTAGAGATGTCTAATAAATATGTTAAAAAAGAGGTACCTTGTACTGCATGAACCAACCTTCTGGAAAACATGTAACAACACACAAGTGAACATACTGGACGTGGTATGCTATATGTTTTACCTTGATAAGAGATGAGTTTATCTTGGGCCACTGCAGGATGAGTGAAGGAAGCGGATGAACTTTTGACAGTTTCTCTAATGCATCTTTGTTAGTCGGTCCACTCAGTCTACTTCCCCGACCTCGCCTTCCTCTGTCACAATAAAAAGTGAGTTAGTGAAATACTGTACAGGCATCTCTCAAGGTACATAAGCTTGAGTAATGGAAATTCACATTAAAGGAACTAAAACAAAATATGGAATAATCTTTGAGATACAGAGGAAAAACTTCCATTAGTTACTGGGAATCTCCACCCCATCATATT